CAAACTTTCCTTGTCGCTTCTACGAGGGCTCACGACTTACTGCCTAAATCCACTGACCGTCGGGCTCTCTCTTACCTCTTCTCATCGTCCGTGGTGATGCGGTTCTCTCCATCCGCCCCCGATCGTAGGCAGCCTTCACTCCTATCTCCTAGCTTCTAATACAACCCTTACACAAGATCCACACATTTCGAAACCGATCGCCCCCCACTTTTAATCGGCCGTTATTTCACTACAATTTATTAGCCCTACTCCCCACATCAATATTTTGAACAATACTATGTTACCTGCCGGTTACAAAGTTATATGGTTATTTTATCGTTGTGGACAATACAATTTATTTTAAGTACAATAAATCCTATTGCAGCAGCACCGGTGGTACTGGTGGTACTCTCACCCCAAAAGGCCTGGATTCAATACCAGTCGGCGCCGCGGGGATTTTCTGAGGCACAAAATTTCTGATCACGTCTTCCTTCGGAAGGGAAGTAAAGACGTTGGTCACCGGTCGATAGGTAGGGTCCAGGTGTGGGAGCTGCCTCCCTGGCATCGGTAGTATTGGTACTCAGTACGGAGAACAAGATCGACGGGAAACAAATCCAGAGAACTTCGAGATTTGGGCGTAATTGCTTTTGTAAACAAACACGTCAATCGCCGATTTCTCGCGAATAATAGCTCAATCTCGGGATCCAATTAAGCCACATTCTAGGTGAATTTTTCCTCAACCTGTGTGTGTTGTTATTTTTCAAGGCTGGGCTTTAACTCGCGAGAAAAAGTCAATTGAAGCGTTTGTTTACAAAAGAAATTACACCCAAATCTAAAATCACTCAGGAATTCAAAGAAAAAATTAAATTCTGTTGTATCGTTATAATACATTTCACTATACTTTTATCGTTATTTTTTACGGATATAACGTAGAATAAAAGCATTATACTTCAACCAGGCTTCTTTTATGTAACAACGTGTATTGAGTTTAACCGAAGACAACAAATCAAGAAGACTGGCAACTTTGCCAGAATCCAAGCGACAGATACAGTAGCGCTGCGCGTGAGTGAAGGTGGAAGCAACGCATAGAAAAATGAGCAAATACACAAACCCTTCGTCTGAGGATGTAATCTTTGCTATAAAATTCGTTCGAAGCATTTACCTTTGAGCGGCAGATGACGCGATTATACCAACAATCAATACGAAACTAACGATTTTAAATTGGCTCACTACTTGACTAGCCTATTGGTCCCAAGCAAACGATTAACGTACCCTATTCTAGTTGAAATTCTATTACTACACTATGTTTGTTTTGATTCGCTATGAAAGTTTGACAGATAACATCAGGGGTGTGTGGATTCATGCAGAACATGCAGGGGTGAGTGAAATAGCTTGGGACTGCTTGGGACCGTTGTTCTGGTACTGAGTGAGCCAAAAATAATAGTGATTTTCTTCGGGACCCAGTGGTCTTAGAGTTACCTCTATGATTATACCTGTTTCGCGTTTGTATGAGAAAATGGAAGAGTTGCCAGTCTTCTTGATTTGTTGTCTTCGGTTTAACACGATAGGCCTTTTTAATGGGAACTAAACTATCGATTCAACGTCTGGTGGTGAATAGGAGAACGTCAAAAAGAGTGTTGTGAGCAGAAATTTTTGCCTTGAGACATAGGAAGCGGAACACTTTTTTTACTTTTCCTGATAAATTGATTCATCTGAGATGCTCGAAAACTTAATCTACAGTTGAAAAATTTAATTCTGTAACGTTTTTGCAAAGATCCTGCTGGTGTTCAGGAATATTTGTGTTGAGAAAAATGAAAAATTAGAAAAGTACCTTAGTGGTTATGATCTTCCGGATTTCTTGTGTGTGAAAAGTTAAGGTACAAATCAGTTCAGATCTGTGGAAAATCGTACAATAAGACAATTAATTATATATACAAATATCTGTGAAAAATTACAGGAAATCTGTGCAAAATCACCGAATTTTTTACCGAAGTTTAACTTTAGAGTTTTTGTTAAAATTTAACAGATTTTGGTAAAATAATCTTAGTGTGTATAAACGAATAAAATTTATGCATTTATGAGTAACAGATACTCATAAAACATGTAAAAATACACACATTTTAGGCGTATAGTCCGTGTAGGATTACCTGTACCCTTGCTGGAGTAACTTGGCAGGTAGTGAAAACCTTAGTTGTAAATTGTTGGTGTCCAACTCAATCGGTGGATGCAACGGGTTAAGGGTGCGAGTTCTTCCTTCATGGCACAATTAACACTACACAAGTTTTAGGGGAAACACAAACTCTAACTACACTACATTTATTTTTGGTACAAACTACAACACGAATTACAATAAAAATCTCGGTCTCACAGGACCGTCTTCGACCTTGTGTCACTTATCAACTAGCTACAATAATCATCGCTATCTGCTCTCTAACCCGATCCCAGTATCCCATCGTGGATGTGGTGAATATCACAAGAGATCGGATCGTAGACCGAATCTCTCGCTCTCATCGTCTACATCATCTCCCGTATGCTAATGAAAGCGAAAGTGATCTCGATCTACCATCAACTGCCGGTCGATCCATGGCTCGTACAATAGCCACAATTTAAGCCATTATTTGCTACCTTTATTTGCTATCATCTGGTCGGCTGTTACGGTGATAGGATGGTAATAGCATAGAGGTAACTCTAAGACTAGAAGGTCCCGAAATAACGTGCTCAACTTTTTGGCTCAGCTCTGGTACTCTCTTCGGTCCCAAGGGTCCCAAGCTAATCGATTCACCCCTCGAAACATAGGAAAAACCAATAACCCCTCATTTTATCTGTCAAACTTTCATAGCGAATCAAAACAAACATTGCGTAGTACTAGAATTTCGACTAGAATAGGGTACGTTAATCGTTTGCTTGGGACCAATAGGCTACTAAAGTGGTGAGCCAATTTAAAATCGTTAGTTTCGTATTGATTGTTGGCAATAGGGTGGTCCTCACAGACAGTCCGTTTTAGCGGAATATGCATACTTTATAGCCAAAATTGAGTCCTTTATAGTCATTTTTGCGTATTTTGCGGTTTCCGTGTAGCTAATCAAAACAAACATAATGTACTTCTAGAATTTCGACTAGAATGGGGTACGTTAATCGATTTGCTTGGGACCGAATAGAGTACCAGAGCTGAGCCAAAAAGTTGAGCACGTTTTTTTTGGGGACCTTCTGGTCTTAGAGTTACCTCTATAGTAATACCAACAATCAATACGAAACTATCGATTTTAAATTGGCTCAGTACTTGACTAGCCTATTGGTCCCAAGCAAATTGATTAACGTACGCCATTCTAGTCGAAATCCTAGTAATACACAATGTTTGTTTTGATTCGCTATGAAAGTTTTACAGATTAAATGAGGGGTTCGTGGATTTTTCTATGTTTCGAGGGGTGCATCGATTAGCTTGGGACCGAATAGAGTACCAGCGCTGAGCCAAAAAGTTTAGCACGTTTCTTCGGGACCTTCTGGTCTTAAAGTTACCTCTATGGTAATACCACAGACAAACAGACATAACACATTGAATATATCTCAATGTAAAACATCGTCGCTAAAACATTACCGCCATCTGTTGAGAACACTGTGGTGGGTAGTACGCTGAACAGATGGCGGTAGTGTGAAAACGTCAAACGTAAGGGAATTAACTATGCGCGCCACAGGTGGCGGTACTACCAACTACGATGCTTTTAAATGGATCATTGAAGATGCTGAGGTTTTGACAGCACCGTACTGTGGCTACCACAGTATTTTACATTGGATCGTCCGTATACAGTAGCGCCAAATGCAAGCTGTGGCGGGTTCAAAACTCAGCCATCTAAAATGATCCATTGACCGTTAAATGCTTGTTCGATGAACAACTTGCGAGTGTTATGTCTGTTTGTCTGTGGTAATACCGAAAAGCGAGTGTTTTAGAAAATGACGAGAAGAATCTAGACTTATGATTTTTTTTTCTTTCAATATTTTGGTATCACCATGATTATGATAAGGGCATAATTACATGTTTTTTTTTACTCAAAGCTAGGTATTGTTATATTTACTCAACCTATGAGTAAAAAGTATTTACCTGTCAGTTCAACTTTTACCTAACAGAGCACTTTAAGCAATATACTCAATTTTGAGTAGTTTAAACCTATTTTTTGGGTATTTTTTTATTACCGTGTACACTCTTTCATGAGTCCCAATTAATCATTACACAGCAAGCGGTGAAAAGCGGTTATTGCACTTTTCTAATAAATATCTAATAACCGTTGTGTAAAAACTCACAATATTCGCAGATTAAAATTAGTTTACTTGTTACTTGTATTATTCAAATAAAGTTTTCGTGAATGTTTTACATGTTTTTACATTCCATCAACCCTGAAATCTAATTATTTTAATTATTAAAGATCATAAACCAACATCGCACGAGTAAAGCAAAATCAATACTTAATTAATAATAAACTTAATATTAATAACCTTTTAACACTACACCAATTAGCCACTTAGCTTTACAATAGGTCATATGAATAAAACAATATATGTGACCTAATGTCTGACCGTCTAGCTAGACATATTTATTGCCCAATCGACTGATATCCGATACGAAGATTTGGCTGGCAACACTATTTCTCTTGCTTCCCATCAAGTACTTCGCATCGCAGCTCTCTCACAACTTCGGATTGGTAGTGCGATGGCAATAAACTACATGAACTAAACACGCGATTGTGTAATTAATTTAACGAACCATTCAAACAGATTCATACCCGTATTTTTACCGTTCCCGCCAGTAGATGGCAATGCAGCAACTACGCTTGCAAATATTTCGTCTCCATTTATTTTCTTGCAACCGGAAGTCCGTTGCACTTTGACAATCAGCTGTATTTCGCTCGTTTTGAAATTGAACGGCGAAAAGAGCGACAAAGAGAGAAAAACGGTTAGCAAATCAACACAATCGGACTCGCGTCGTATGCGAAGAAGAGAAAGAAAATATCACCAACTGAAACGGATTTTTTTCGCTGCTGCTGCTTAACCGTCGGATTTTTGTAAAGTTGTTTTTCAATAGTTCAAGTAATCAGAAGTGTACCATTTTTATCAGAAATTGTAGCTGAAACTTACTATCAGCAGTGAAAAGTGAAATTTATTGAATATTTGCCAGTTTTTGCGTGGGAAATTGTGTGAAAAGTCGGTCGGTCGGTGGTTGTTTTCGTTTGCTGTTTTTGCTAGTTTGTTGGAAGCCGCTGTCCTTGAGTGAAGCGATTTTCTTCGGACGGTTGATATGTTTGTTTTGCCGGTTCGGCCGAAAATTCCTGAGCTGTAGTGTTTGGTTTTGCATGAAATTGTGAGTATTTATTGCTTCGAAGACGATCGTATTGGATTTTGTTTGAGGTAGAATTTTATTACTTCTGTCGGTAGGTAATTCGATGGATAATTACACGGAAAGCAGTGGAGGTGATTCATCACCCGACATGAACTCCAGCGTTGAACTGCCGTCGCCGGATCGTTCGATTGTGATGCCTCGAAAGTTGACTTTTGGGTTGTCTCCCGAGAATGATCACCTTGCAGGCGACTATCATCGTGCTACGTTGAATGTTAGTCCCCGTAAACAACAATCAATATCGCCTCCGTATCGGAAAGTCCGAGCGTTGCGATTGTTTGACTCTCCGGCAACACCGAAGACGATCATACAGAAGTCAACAAGTAAATTCATGAAAACACTCGCCAACGTTCCTTCCAATGATTTGGATTCCCTGGTCAAACCGTTCGATGCCAATGGAACCATCATCCATGAGAAGCCTCGCGCCGTCCCGTTGCATCGGAATTACGATAATTTGATTCCTTCGGCCAATGTGAACCCTTTTACACCACCGGGAATGTTCATGCGAACGAAAAAGCGAATGCGATCCGGTCTGGAAGGTGGGGAGACACAGCTGAATTCCAGTTTTCCGTCGATTTTCCCGTGCAACAAAGTCAATCAGCCGCCGTTGCGGCAAACTTTCGGTTATTTCCAAAGGTCATGCAACGAATCCCTGAAATCGACAAGCCTGCTAGAAGACGATTTCGGAGAAATCCATCAGGCTCCGAAGCGGTTAGCTCTGCAAGATTCAAACATTTCCCGATACGAGAAAGAGTTCCTTGAGCTGTCCCTTCTTGGCGTTGGAGAGTTTGGATTGGTTTATCAGTGCGTCAACCGATTGGACGGCTGTGTGTACGCTGTAAAAAAGAGCATCAAACCTGTTGCTGGAAGTTCCTTCGAGAAAACCGCTCTGAATGAAGTCTATGCTCACGCAGTTCTCGGCAAACATGACAACGTAGTCCGATATTATTCTGCATGGGCCGAGAACAATCACATGCTGATTCAGAATGAATTCTGCAATGGTGGAAGCTTGCAAACCTTGCTCCAAGAGCGCACTCTCAAAGAATCGGAGCTTCGTATGTTGCTGCTTCACATCTCCGAAGGCCTCAAATATATTCACTCGAACGATCTCGTTCACATGGATCTTAAAGCTGGAAACATTTTCCTCACCAAAGTGCCAATCCGGCCGTCTTGCTCCAGTTTCAGCCATCACCAGGCGGACAATGCAGACGACGGATTCGAAGATATTTTCGAAGATCTAGAAAATGAGTTCCTAGTTACGTACAAAATTGGTGATCTCGGTCATGTCACCTCGGTGAATGATCCTCAGGTGGAGGAAGGCGACTGTCGATACCTGCCGAATGAGATTCTCCAGGAAGACTTTTCCAACCTGCCGAAGGCGGATATCTTTTCCCTGGGAATAACGTTATACGAAGCAGCTGGTGGGGGTGCTTTACCGAAAAATGGTCCTAAATGGCACCAGCTTCGAAGTGGGGTGTTCCCTGATCTTCCAGCGATAAGTCGAGAGTTCAACGAACTGATCAAGGTGATGATGCACCCCGATCCAGAGAAGCGACCGTCATCGACGACGATTTTCAACCATCAGTAAGTTGCCATCATTTGCTTCGGGCTGAATTCAACTAGGTAAAAATCTTCTAAGCTAAAATGTTTTCTTTTTTTGTTTTTAGAGTGCTTTCGCCAATCGATTCTAAAAGTAAAGCGCAACTTTGTCTCGAGCTCAGCATGGAACGGCAAAAGAACGAAGTTCTGATGAGGAAGCTGAAGGAGCAGGGCAAGATGCTCAAGTCTTATGAGCAAGCACAAACTCCAAGTGAGTAGCATTTGTTTATTAACTATCTCACACCGATAATATATTGCGTAATAGTTTGATATTACTCGTTTTCATTTCTTCACTCAATTGTGTTGGCATTTTAAGGAAAATTAAGGTATTTATCCGTTTCCTTATTTCGTTTCTACTTTTTTGCTAGGTGTACCGGCACCTTCACGAGCTGAAAAACTCGGTGAACACTCGCCAAAACGGATCAACTAGCATTAATTAAATCTTTGTAAAAAAAAAACATTACAGTAAATGATTGTGGTCGTGGGGAAAATATCAATGTTTATTTTCAAAAGTCGAACTGAAAACTACCTGGATACATATCTTCTTCATAACACAGCATTCCTTTCGGAACTACTGCCAGTCCTCAATGTGACCAATGAGACCTTCCACAGTTACAGCAAGATGTTTCGAGGGGTTCTGTCCTGTCCAACTAGACCCAAAGATGTAACGGTTTACTAAAATTGTCTTCAAATCAACACATTCTGGATTTCAAACCAACATAATACAATGGATTGGAAATTTGAAGCTGCACTCTAATGGAGCCAATACACACTGCATTATGGTTGTACAATCGCTATGATTTTACCATGCAACGTATGGTTGTACCGTATGATATATGGTAGGTATAACCATACTGCCGTGAAATGACAATGTGACGTAAATCCATTTCATGAATTGTTCAAAAAACATACTTTTATTTAACCTCGAAAAGTATCTAAATTATTACTGGACTTTTTGAATATGATCTAAAAAAAAAAGAAGAAGCCAACAACCTGAACGTTGATGTTTAAAAAAAGCTTTTAATTGTTCAACACTTATGTATTGCGGACGTCACTTATGTATAGAAACAGTGAAACGTTTTATTCTACGAAAATGTATGGCTACCGTCACATTGCCACTTTTCTTCAAAATCAAATGTTATGCAAGTGTTAAGTGTTGTGAAAATAAATTTGAGTCTGATGCTGGATTGACAATCATCAGATTGGCCGAAAAGTTATGAATCACCTGGAAGGAGAAAGTTAACAATGTGTAACATTTTGTGGTGTGGTATTTATCCGGTTCGGGTACGAGATTCATCGGTTGGTCGATCATGAAATGACCTACTGTTAGCGCTTCACAGCTATCTGGGTTCGTCGATAGAACAATAGAGTTTAGGCAAGCTTCGATTTGGTAGAGAATTGCAGACAAATCCTCGTACGTTAAGGCTTCGGCTCTTAATTCTGCCACAAGATGTCGCTTAGCGCTTTCGACCGCGTATTCCCATATATCTCCCATATGCGGCGCTGATGGAGGGATGAATGTCCACTTTATCCCGAGATTCGAGAGGAATCGGCTTGTTTCCTTGTTGTGAGTACTTGCTTGATCAAAAAGTGTGATTCGCGCCCACAAAGTTGGTCCCGCTGTCTGACCAAACTTCGTTCGGATAACCGCGTCTGGATATGAACCACTTCAAGTTCCAAGGAAGGTGTTAGTTGACATGTCGCCCGCTGCCTCGAGATAAACGGCCTGAGTTGAAAGACACAAATACACCTCTATACATAGCCTTTGGTCACCTTAACTCCACGAACGCACGTTACCGTGATCTTCAGTGATCCAGCGTAATCTAGCCCTAGGTGAGAAAATGGACGAGTCGTCAACACCCTGGCTGGCCGAAGGCTTCCATAAGCTGACTTGCCATCCTTCCCTTAAGTCGAACACACCGAGTGCGACATTGAACGATCTTGCGAACTACCGTCTGACATCCTACTATCCAGTACTGTTGGTTTATAACTGCTGTTAGTAGGGACGGTCCAGCGTGAAGTGTAATTCACGCATCAATAACTCCGTTGCCCGATGATTCTGCGCAAGATGATTAGGTACTTGATGTCGTACGGCTGACCAGAGTTCTGTAGTATATCACCTAAACGCAAAGTTCCTTGTTCATCCAAGAATGGGTGCAGGGCTGAAAGAATATGTTCTGATCGCATCGTTTCGCCCTTCCGCAACAGCTCGAGCTCAGACCCGAAAGCTTCTTGTTGGACAGCTCGAGTCAGTTATGCCCTCGCCTGATGCAGTTCACTCGGTGTAAGTTCTCCAGATCGCCGGTGCATGAGCTGGCCTTGTGGGTGGTGTTGTGCACAAAACGATTTTCACAATGCCAGACTACGGATGACAGGGATGAAACTGGAACACCTGTCCAGAAGCTGTCGCGCAATGTCATAATTTTGACGAGTTGGTACCACTGTACCGTTCAACACCATCGGCTGTCGTGTTTCCAAGAGATCTTCCTTTTTGCAGGATTGCGGTAGAGCTACGTTCCCCGAAGATTCATATCGCCTCTCAATCAAAACGGACCTTGGAACCACTGATTTAATCCAACAATCTCGGAATCAGCGGGATTCTTGGAGCTAACTACGTGACATCAACACTGACGCTGCAGAAGTTCAGGAATAACTGCCGTTCGGTTTGCCACGTAGGTTTGCCATTTCATATGCTGAGCAGGTTCTATCTCCAGATGGGGCCATGCTTCGAGGATCTTTGCCATCAGCGCCGCCAATAGCAACGCTCCGTTCTACTCCAAGCGTGGGAGAGAAACCTACTTGATTGGAGCAATTGGACTTTGCTGCTGCCAAAACAAGACTGACGTTACCTTCATTGTCAACCACACACGACTACACCACTGCTGCATATGCTTGCTCAGAGGCATCCGAGAATCCGTGTAGTTGAAGCTTTCCTTGAAAGTGACCGGTAAACCGTGGAATTCGCATTTCTGCCAGTCGATGCAACGCAATGAGATCGTGAAATATTGCTGTATTAGTAAACCAAAAAATTTACGTAAACGCAATTAGTGACGTCACTCATTGCTTGTACCATGAATTTGGCGTTAACAGGTAAATTATGCGTATGGTACGAAACTTTAGTTCAAATGCTACCGAACGAAGTCAATAAGAACGCGTGATAAGAATGTTTGCACCCAATATTCTCAAATACAAATGAAGTGCTCCGACCGAATCAATCTTTACCTTCATCCGATAGGCCGAAGAGAATTCATTGACTTCTCAATGGCGTTTCAGTGCGTTAGGCCGAGTTTAGCGTCAAGAAGCAGTGTTAGACTTTTGACAATATCTCAACGATTGGTTTCACTTTATCAAATCTTGCGGTACGTACGGAAGCCATCAGTAATAATAACATTCCGTTTGGTGCTAAACTACGCTAGATTAAGAAAGGGTAAGTGCGGCTTGTGCTTAATAGGCCGGAAATGGGGTAGTTAACCCTATCAAAGTACAGTACCAAACCACACCAAACTAAAATATAATACGACACTGTTGCCGAAGACCGTCACGTATTTATGTATTTTAGTTTTTCTCATAATACGAGCTGCTAATGTGAATTCTAATGCTTGTGTGAAATCTGAAAATGGCAAGCAACGATGTTCTAGTAATAATATTTGCGACAGAAGTCTGGTGAATATTTCCATCAATATGTTCCAGGGGGTCATCAATAAAGAGTCGCTCCTCGCTAACATTGTTGTCGCTGCTGGCATATGCCGAGTCAAATCACAAACACCTTGACAAAAGGTGCCAAAGAACAGGCCCCATCTGCTTTGTACTGGTACTGGTACTGGTCTTCTGCAGGGTACCACAAGCACAAAATACCCAAGGCCTTACCAGAATCTGCTTGCTCCGAAAGCTTGGTACCGGTGATCATTTTCGCAACTCAAAACCCGCTGAACCTAGGGTCTCCGTCGCCTGTTCCTTGAGCTGCTTCGCTTCGGCTTCATCGTCTGCTCCTGACAAGAAATCATCAACGTAGAAAATCAGTTGTGATTCGCTTTCCTGCTTTGCCTTCCGTGTAAACCTCCTCAAAACCGTACAGAGCCGATAATGTTTGACCTGTCCTGCTTCGTTGATCCACAGAACTCGCAAGTAGTCTCGATCCTCTTTGGTCACCCAAACATGGCGGTACATTTTTGCAACATCACCGCTGAATGCCGCTCGAAGCTGGTTTTAGATAGGGCATATCAAATGATCAAGTCAATTGAATTCAACTGACTTGAACACGAATTTAACGTGTAAACCATGCCATTCAACTGACTTGATCAACTCGAATTGAAAAAAGTTGAACCAGGCTCAACTTTTCAAGCCAATTGAATTCAACTGAGTTGATCATTTGACTTGCCTAGTCTAAACCCAGCTTTATGATAACCGCATGATGCGGTAGATAGAAGCATTCTGCAGGATTTTTATTGATTTCCTAAGGTGAAACCTCCTCCATGTGATTCAGCTCCAGATATTCACGCATGAAGGCTTCGTAATCTCGCTTGAATTCTGGTTGGATTTCGAATCGCTTCTGTATCGACTTAACCAGCTCCAGTGCAGCTGTCATCGATTCTCCCAGGGGTGGCTTCGAATTGTCGTATCCTCATCACGTGACAAGGTCGATCCGAAATATTCAACCCCCTTGATTTCAGAAGAAGTCAATTCGACAGTGAGCATGCATAATGGCCTATGATCGATTCTCTTCGTCGATTTTCTCTTTTGTTAATAACTCGCTAGATTTAACGTTTCTCGCTGCGTTTGCTGTTGCTTTCGATAGCCAATACAACCTGTTACTACTCTGCATTGAACAAATTCTAGAAAATTGTTTCGCTTAGCTGTAGCAATGCAAAGAGAAAATCGATGCAGAGAATCGATCATTGCGTATTTGCCCTTATGCATGCTCACTGTCGAATTGTGGTTAGTTACGCAGTTCCAATTTCTTAACGCTATCCAGAGGCGTTTCCTTAACCTCAATCTACCTGTACACCAACTCTCAAAACAAAAAATTATCAAAATATTGCTTGCAATGGATAGATATCGAGTAAAGTAGAAGATTAAGTCAAGCGCAAATTTTCATTACGTCGAAAGTAACAAGGTAAACAAAGTCGAGCTATCAGTGTCATTCGTTGCTCCTGCTATTACACTATAATACTGTCCATTCTTAAATTTATTTACCAGTCAAATTGCTTCACC